TCTTTAGGAACGTCATTAACGTTCCTTTTGCTTCTTTTCTTTAGGAGACGCCCTCCCGGATTTGGATTTTATAAAGGTAAGTTGGGGAGGTTATTTTTGAGTTTTTTTTGTCTTTGGGAACGTAATTAACGTTCCTTTTGCTTCTTTTCTTTAGGTGACGCCCTTCCTGGACCTGGATTTCGGCTTGGGCTATTAAAGTAAGTTGGGGAAGGGTTTTTTCTCTTTTTTTTTTGTCTTTAGGAACGTAACTAACGTTCCTTTTGCTTTTTTCTTTAGGAGGACGCCTCTTGGACCTGGATTTCGGCATGGGTTATAAAGGTAAGTTGGGGGAAAGGTATTTTTGTTTTTTTGTTTTTAGGAACGTAATTAACTTTCCTTTTGCTTTTTTTTTTTAGGGAGACACCTTCTTGGACCTCTAAATCTTAAACTTTTTATAAATATTGTGTCAACTAATTTGTTAAAAATCATTTGTAATAACGTAAAAATAAATACTATGTTTATTATTATAAAATTTCTAATTGTTAATTAATATTAATAAAAAGTATTAAGTAGAAAAAACTGAATTCAGATTCACCAGATTCACCGGATTGATCGGATTATTCAGATATCCGGTCAACCATCCGGTCAAATTGGTGAGCAAGTATTGACCGGATATCCGATGATCTATCCGGTCAATCCGATGAATCATCCAGATCAATCCGAATCCAGTCAAATTTTGGATGGATGACCGGATATCTGGATTGACCAGATTCGAAGCATACCTCTATATACAATAACTTTCATGTCCAAAAAAAATATTTCATAAACTTGCACTATAGGTATACATATGTAGTTTTAGTAGAAACTGTACAAGTTTAACAAAGAATGTGAATATTAAAAAGATTCAAATAAAACTAAATAAAGATTTAAAAACTAAATAAAAAACCAAATATAGCTTAGTTACAGTGAAAAATGTTCAAAATTTTTTCATCCAATATTTGAGTTAATAGGAAATTTACCATCGAAATTTTGCGTTCCTACATAGAAAAGTCAAAGACGCGAAACTCTAGCGATTTCAAACTTTGCAAGTGGCTTAGCTAGGATTGTCACTATTAATTACCATCTTTAAAATTTGTATATCATATCACATGATGATATGACAATCCAGTAAAAAAGGAGTATTAGCCATTTTTAGCGATAATTTGTGTAAATCGGCATTATTAAAATTCTCCAGTTGAGTGGCAATTTGTCCTTTAATTTAAAAGAAATATTTACCAACTTAAAGTATAATAACATTAAATAAAAGTTTTTTAATACTCACCCCCAATTTACTGTATTATATAGTATTTTGTATAATAAAAATGTAACAAAATCAATATTTTAATTAAAGGTAGACAAATCAGCCCATATGAATAAAGAAAAGAAATATTAGTAATATATACCTTTTTATGCATTTCTAGATATAATAAATAAAAAAAAAATATAAAAATATGTATTTCTGGATATATTAAATAGATAAAAAATTGTGTTTTTAAATAAAAAAAAATTGAGAACAAAGAAAAGGTTTTAATAAGATAAACAAAAATGCGAAATGTAAATATTTAAATTATGTGATCACATGACATGTTATTTTATAGCCTGAATACATTTATAATTAAATTTGGTAAAACTATGTCATAAAATAAAAATTTTTCAATCCAAATGACCCTTTGATTAAAAAATTATCGAAAAAAAATCTTTCCAAATGAACCCTTAGAAAATTTCTCATCAAAAAAATATTGAAATGATCCCTCTAGTTAAAAAATTTTTTAAGTTAAGATTACATGAAACTGCGCATTAATTTACGTTAGCACAGATTAACGCTAAATCACATGATTCTGCGAAGGCAACACAAAACAGTGCAATGAAAATTAGCATCGATCATTGCACAGATTTATTTACATCGCACAAAACATTGCATAACACAGTGTATAGTTTAACATTTATCGTAAAATATTTTTATTTAATTATTTTCTAGTTACACTCTATCTAGAAGAACAATTATTAATATATAAATTTTCGCCTATAAAATATTAATCTAAAATAAAGAAAATAATTAAATTTGTGATTAATAAATTAAATACTTTTATAATTAAAATACATAATTAATTAAGACATCTTACCAGCTAAAACAGTTTCATTGGTTTCTTCCAAATTATTCTCCAGATCTGATTCAGTAGTATTTTGTTCTTTACTATTATTATCGTTAATTTCTGCTTATCATATCATTATCCATTATATTATCATCTTCCAATGGACTTTTACATTTAAGCTAGTAGTATTTAAATAAATTAATAATAAAAAAAAAATAACAATTAAACAGATAATTTAAATAATTAGTTAATTACCCATCTCTGTATGACTACATCAGAATCCCATTTGCCCATACATTCTTGAACTTTTGATGATGAGACTTTAGGTTGATCATATGTTGGATCCAAAAGCATTAATATAACTGTAATACTGAATTTTACATTATCCATAATTTGAAGCTCTTCTTTACTAAATGATCATTACAAAATAAACTCAATAAAGTATAGTGAATCTGGATCATTATCCATTTTATTCCATAAATTAAACCTTGCATTTTTAACTGTTTCTGATTCTTTCCAACGCCTAACTTATTCAGGATCAGTAAACTTATTAGGTTTACATGTAAATAGATTGAATATGGCATAAACAGTATCCTTAATTTTGCGAACATATGAACTCCTGTGATTACGAAAATATTTCAATACCTAAATAAAAATGTTTTAAAAAATATTTTATAATAAAGCAAAAAAATAGGTACTATATACATAATAGAATAACTAGCATCCCATAATTTTGACCATTCATTTAAACTACTAAGTTCTCGCATCTTTTCAGGATAATCAGTTTGAATTTGTAATTTAAAGACACGTTGTAATCATGGATATTGGACTTAATGGAATAGATAAATAATATATCGAATAGAGGATTACATGGTAGAAAGTCACATGATCGGATAAATAATACACTGGAAAGGATAAACGTTTAGGAGAAGAGATGATCTACATGATGTAATGTTTATTAAACGATTAACGAAAAACCAATAGATTAATCAGGGGGTCGATCAATGCGGCTTAGCAACCAGTTTATCAAGTCCATCAATAGGAATAATTAGGAGGAGTAATTATAAGCCACAAAAGATAGATTATAAGAATAACATATAAAATGGGAGCGAATTAAAATCGAATTTAATGAAAATACATAAAATATTGAAAAACAAAAAGATAATATAAAAGATAATATAAAGGATAATATGAAAAGATGATACGAAAAGATAGCACAGCCACAAAAGATGGATTATTTCTTTACGATATAATATTTGAAAGATTATGTTATTTTAAAGAAAAGATAGCACAGCCACAAAAGACAGGTTATAAATTATTTCTTTAAGATGTAATATTTGAAAGATAGAAAAGATAACATATAAAATAGTATATAAAGTCGTCGGGCTGATAGTGTAGTCACTACGTTCCTCCACCTCGGCCAGGGCCTCGCAGTACCTACATCCCCCCTCCGTGGGGCGGGGAATCCCTATATATCTGAAACAATATGAAACAAGATCTGAAACATAACAATATAAGCAAAAAAGGATAAAATAAGGGAAAAGAGAGGAAAATAAGAGAGAATCAGAGAGGGTGTTTCGATGTTTCAGATGTTTCGGCAATTTTGGTAAAAGTCAGGCGAGGACAACCCTCCCAGAAAAAGTTTTGATTTTACCCCCCAGATCTGAAACTTCTGAAACATCTGAAACTGATTCAGGATTCCGTTCGTTTTCTTATTGGAGGCAGTGAGATAGCAAATCGAGTAAACAGATAGGTTAATAACCCCTAGAAGGACTGTAGAACCACAGGAGGGTAACCGGGTAGGAGCACGGATCCTTGGAAAAAATATATTCGGCAATTGAAGATTAGGTAACTATAAATTAGTACTCGATTTGATAGAACAAAAAATGACCACTCAAGCTCAAGTTATCCCCAAGTTCGGTGAACAAACGAAAGCCTTCAGTATCGATGAGCTTAAACGGTTTATTGTCGCTGCAAAGAGTATGAATGATCTCGATCAAGCCAAGAGGTATCTTTGCAGTTATTTCATTCTCTGTGCAGATCCTCATGGGGTTTTCTGGTGGGACCCGGATAGTAAAAGTTTGAAACACGTTATTGACAAAAATATTGGTAAACTTATCCGTCCAATCACGAAGGCATTCTACACACAACCTGAACAAGGACCCTCTCAAAAGACCGAGTTCAACATCTACAAGTGGTTTATGGT